GAAGAAGAAGAAGAAGAAGAAGAAGAAGAAGAAGAAGAAGAAGAAGATTATTATTATTATTATTATTATTATTATAATTATTATTATTATTATTATTATTATTATTATTATTATTATTATTATTTTTGCCATCATACTTTTGCTTTTTGACAGGCGATGCTTTGGGTCTATCTTAGGATAGCCTTACAAATCACGATTAGTAAGCAGAAGCAAAAACTGGAATCAATATTTTAATATTTCATCAGTGGATATTAGAGGGCCACTTTCTGATGTCACGTTTTTACATTTCTTTTTTTTTTTTTTTTTACAGAGAACCATTCAGAGTCCCTGTCTATTCAGATGGCCACAGAACGGAAGAAATATGGAAGTGGTTGAAATGTATTTGAACATAAGTATCTGAGGTTGGGCTGAGTGAGCTCCGAACTTGGCAATTTGGTTGCAAACGTTTCGTCACCATTCGAGGAGACGTTGTCCGTGCGCTTCGAATTGTGCTCGTCTGTCCGAGCGTGGCGGTGGTCTTTCAATACCGTTTGATGGGATGCAAATTATATAACATCCACGCTAATTTGCATCCTGTTAAACGGTATTGAAAGACCACCGCCGCGCTCGGACAGACGAGCACAATTCGAAGCGCACGGACGACGTCTCCTCGAATGGTAATGAAACGTTTGTAACCACATTACAAATTGCTCGGAGCTCAGCCCAACAGCCCAACCATGTTAAGTAAATAAATAAAATTCATCTCCCATTTTCCCCAAATCATCACGTTAGTAGGAAGCTGTGTGAGATTGTGATCAGTCTTTCTGACTGTGACCCAATATGAATTGACAAATTCCAAACCACAACATGGACTCTCATCTACTTGTTATATTTTACCTAGCTGAACACACCCTTGGAACAAAACCCACCCAGGCTGCCCTATCTGGACTTTTATTAATAGCCTAAACCCCAAGCAAGTCCCAACTCATTCATGAATGGAATTAGCAAATGTTTTTGCAATTAAAGCAGCAACCATTTGCACGGGGCCCCTAGAACAATGAGTCTCTCTGTTGCCAAGAGAAGAAGGATCCAATATCAGCTACATTGAGCTGGCCAAGCTGCAAATTCCTAAATCTCTCCTCTTCAAGATAAGCACAGAAACACTTAGAAGATGGGGGTGGACCAGGGAAACCCACGTTTTTGTATAATGGGACAGGCGTAAAGATTGTCTCCTGCAAAGATGATAAAGAATGCAAACCATTGGGAGGAGCAAAATACCATACACACACACACACACACACACACACACACACACACGTTGCATCTCTTTGTGTCCTCCAAGTGTTAAAATATGTGTACATATGTGTGCGTTCGAAATGGTGTACAGATGGAGGATGAGTGACTTAGTTCAAAGTTTCCACTCTTGTTTTTTCTGGCTTTGCTTTTATTCAACTCCCCAAAATAGTTTTGAGCAAGGCAAATGGACTCCAGGTGCCAGCTGTTCTTGTTTTTTTTTTAAAAAAATAACTGGTTTATATTTTTATGGCACGTTGAAGAATAAAATGCAAATGAAAATGAAAAGAATGCAAAAATCAGGGAGGGAAAAGAGGAAAGACACGTAGGGTTAAGGGAGAGCGGGACAGAAAGAAAAACACTGACTCTTTTTAGCACAGTAGAATCTCATAAATAACATTACAACTTTTTTTACTTTTGCATACTTAAAATGAACAGGTGGTCCTCGACTTGGGACCGCAATTGAGCCCCAAATTCCTGCTGTTAAGTGGGACATTTGTTAACTTGAGCTTTGCCCCATTTCACCCCCTTTCTTGCCATCGTTAAGGGAATCACTGCAGAGGATAAGTTAGTAACAACAGTCATTAAGTGATTTTGCTTGTGAAAAGGTCACAAAAGGGGATGACATGACACCGGGGCACAGACATGGTCATAAGTATGAACCAGTTGCCAAGTATCTGGATTTGATTCACATGAGCACGGGGAAGCTACAAAAGTGTGAAAAATGGTTGTAAGTCACTTTTTTCGGTGCTGTTGTAACTCTAAATGGTCACTAAATGAATTCTTGTAAATTGAGGTCTACTAGCCACTTCTAAAATAGCCTGTGCCAGGTAGTATGCTTGATAAAGACAGGAGAGAAAGTTTAGGAAAATAATAACAACCAAGTCTTCTTAGTTCAGCTATTCCTCCACCCTTTTCACCCACAGACCAAATTACAGAAAAAGGGGAATAAATTGGTGGGGAGGAAGATGCCTTTAAATTATTTTACAACTCCACGAAATCCACAATCACTAAAAATAAATTGAAAAGGAAGCACAAATGGGCCTATCATGAAGCCTTCTTCCTTCCTTCCTTCTTTCCTTCCTTCCTTCCTTCTTCCTGTCCTTCCTTCCTTCCCTCCTTCCTTTCTCCTTCTGTCCTTCCTTCCCTCCTTCCTTCCTTTCCTCTCTCCTTCCTTCCTTCCCTCCCTCCTTCCTTTCCTCTCTCCTTCTTTCCTTTCTTCCCTCCCTCCTCCTTCCATCCTTTCTTCCTTCCCTCCTTCCTTTCCTCCTTCCTTCCCCCTTCTGTCCTTCTTTCCCTCCCTCCCTCCTCCTTCCTTCCTTCCCTTCATCTCTCCTTCCTTCTTCCTTCCGTCCTTCCTTCCCTCCCTCCTTCCTCCTTCCATCCTCCCTCCCTTCTTTCCTTCCTTCCTTCCCAAGAACGTACATTTTGTACCAACTCAGGAGAAGCTCACCAGGGCAACATCCATAGTTGGACAACTACGGAGGAGGATGTGTCTGGCAGCTTACTTAGGGAGACACATCTGAGCCAGACAGCCAACATAAATACTGTTGCATTCAGCGCCTTTGTTTTGTCCAGAATCCCACAATTGCCCAACTGACCAATCTTTTTTGTTTAGGCCTTTGAAAAGAGCAGAGGGGGGGGGGGCACTTTTTCTTCCCCAAAGCAGCTGCAATTCCTTTCCTTTTGTCCCAGATACTGGGCTGGAAAAAAAGTTTTCCACCCCTTTGTAAGGCACACACCACACACACACACACACCCCAAACTGCATCCTCCAACCCCTGGGGAAGCAGCCTCGGGCCTATTGTTTCAGGAACTCCCGGCCCAAGGATGATGGGTTAGGGGGGGAAAACTCCCCAAAGAGCCCCCCCCCCAAAAAAAATACAACACCCCAATCCCTCCAGCCCCTAGAGACTCATTCCACTAACTTTGCAACTGGCGGGATGCTGGAAACAATGGGACCCCCGGGGAAAGGGAGCCGTTAGGACCGGGAAAGAACGACCCCGCCCCGGGTTCTCCCTTGGGTCCGGCTCGCCTCCTTCCCCTCGATCGAGAGATCCCCGATCCCCCCCCCCCCCCCACACCCACACGCGCGCGGAGCCAAGCGGGCGAGAGACTCACGGAGCAGGAGGAGGAGGAGGAGGAGGAGCAGCAACGGCAGCGCCGGCCGCCAAAGCGCCATGATGCCGAAGGACTTCGGGCGTCCGTTCTCGCCGGGCCGAGCTTGCGCATTCCCCGCCTGGCTTGATTCCCAGCGCCGGGTGGGAGGAGAGACGGAGAGAGACGGAGAGAGAAGGCGCGGAGCGGGCGGGGGAAGGAAGCCCGGGGAGAGCCGGTTGCTAGGCGACCCGAGATGCTGGGCTCCGTTGCCCCGGCAACCGCATCCCCGGCCGCGCGGCGGGGATGGGACCGCCGAGGGAGGGAGGGAGGGAGGGAGGGCGGCGCGGGAGCCAGCGCAATTTAAAAAGCTCAATTGACGGGTGGATTGATGGATGAAGGAAAAGACCCCGGCCCGGGAGGATCTTCTGTTCTATCTGGGGTCTGGTCCTGGTTCCACTCCCCGCTTACAAAAATGGCCTTGAAGATTAATAATAATAACAACAATAACAACAATAATAATAGGAGGAGGAGGAGGAAGGGGAAGAGGAAGAGGAGGAGGAGGAGGAGGAGGAGGAAGAAGAAGAGGAGGAGGAGAAGGAGGAGGAGGAGGAGGAGGAGGAGGAAGGGAAAGAAGAAGAAGAGGAGGAGGAGGACAAGGAGGAGGAGGAGGAAGGGGAAGGGGAGGAAGGGGAAGAAGAGGAAGAGGAAAAGAAGGGGAAGAAGAGGAAGAGGAAAAAGAAGGGGAGGAGGAGGAAGGGGAAGAAGAAGAAGAGGAGGAAGGGGAAGGGGAAGAAGAGGAAGAGGAAAAAGAAGGGGAAGAAGAAGAAGGGGAAGAAGAAGAAGAAGAAGAAGAAGAAGAAGAAGAAGAAGAAGAAGA